TCTCTCTCTCGCTCTCTCTCTCTCTCTCGCTCTCTCTCTCTCTCTCGTTGACACATGAAAGTGCACATACATACACACAAGAACACACACACAGCAAACACACACACACGCAAATACACAGATGCAAACACCTACGTCCAATTCCCTGCTTATGCTTTATTCATTTCTGTGAACACTGGTGCATTAATGAGACATCCTTCTTTGTTCTCTTTGTCCTTCACGACCCTCTCGCAACTTCGCTCTTTTTACCCACACCACAGACCTCTCACTATTCTATCTACCCACTCATCAAAGACGTATGTCTCAATATCTTAGATCCTTCACCCTGACGTAATTCCGGTTCACTATGGAGCGCTACCATTTTGATTCAATTTGGAGCCAGAACTGAAGGGCAAAAGAAGAATGAATGTTTCGTGCACACTCGACCGAAACGAGATTAACGTTTTGCCCTTTATTTCTGCACCCATTTGGTGCACACGCTTCGCCACAAAGTCTTTGTGTGTGTGTGTGTGTGTGTGTGTGTGTGTGTGTGTGTGTGTGTGTGTGTGTGTGTGTGAAACTAATATGCAGACTGTTTTTTTTTTTACTAGACTGACAGGCAGACATGTCATATGCTATCATTCGCCTGTTGTAATCACACTGTAATCTTTTTAGGCGTAGCACGTTGATATAAAGACTTTGGCTATTATTTGAATCCAGCTGAGTGAATTGAGACGTTTAGCACCGACTGTGTGTATGTTCTAAATCAATATTCTCTGTTCTTTCTTCCATTTTCATTTTAGATTTTCGCTTTTTCCTTCCCTTTTTTTCTTCAAAATACACATTTAGATTTTTAATAATAGTTTGTCCATCAACGTTTAACGATGGCCAATGCACCTGCACAAGATAATATTTCTTAAACGAATCAGAAGAAATAAGGGATAAGGCGACTTGTGGTTTTAGTAGTCATGGATAATGGGGCCAATTTTTGCTGAGAAGCGTTAGCCACATTTTAAGTTAAGCATTGTTTGACTTGAGCAAAGATTTGTTTAAAATGAGAAAGAGCGGCGCAAACAACAGACTCACTCTCTCGCCAAAGCACGGTGTATTTAATGGAAATATTATAAAAACTAGACGATCAGAAATACTGACTTTTAATGATCTCACAGTCACGAAAAAAGGTCCATATGTTATAGTGATTGTACTCTGTTGATGTGGAAATGTTTGGTGCACTTGGTACTCTTTTCTTGTCTGTCAAAGATGGGGTTGCAGCAAGTTTGCGACTTAAGCAATATTTGATCATTTTTAAACAGCTACCATTTTCTTAAAGATTGACTGCGAGGTTAAAGAATAGCAGAATAGTACCGAAATTATCAGGAGATATTGGCATGAAAATTTGGCATACAGTTGCTTTGTAAATTTAGTTTCTGGTACCTGAGATTTTTCAAATGTATATATAGATGCAGGAAGTTTGACAAAATGCCATCCATATTGAAGGCAGACTGCCTAGAGGTACCACGGAGTTCCACGATCCCAGCTAACTAGGGTTTTGGGGTCCAGGGCACGAACTCTACACTCGGTGATTGCCCCCCACGCCGTTAGTGGCGTCGGTAGTCTAGTGGTTAGGCTACCGGACTCGTAATCGTGAGGTTGCGAGTTCGGGGGTTCGAGCCGCGGGCCCGACGTTGTGTCTTTGGGAAAGTCACTTTACACGAATTTCCCCCCACTTCACCCTGGTGAGAATGGGTACCCAGCGATAGACAGAGAAAGATCTCGTCAGTTTGTTAGTGTTTGAGCGCTTAACCAGCTGTTTGAACTGTATGCTTCCCGGGAAGCTGAGAATGTTTCTGTGTGTTCTATGGTCTGCTATACAAATGCTATTTATTATTATGTATTATTATTAGTAGTATCCATGTTTGTATGACGGTCTGTTGCCACCTGCTACGGTTGCTTTATTATGGCCTGCTACCACCGCCACCTCTGAAGTGACACATTTGTGAGGCAGCGAGGTAGAATCAGGCTCTCGTCAAAATAATCAAAGTGAAGAAACTTGCATTTTGTCCCGGGTTTGTGAATTTTTATCAATTTTTTGTTTTTTGACTCAACACCTTTCATTCCCATTAAAGAACTAATTTCTGCGTTGAATTTTCTGAAAAACGTTGGTTAAAGGCACAAAAAATGTTAATATTCAGTTACCACGGACTCTTAAGCTAAGGAAATAACTATTTTTTGGCGGCCATTTTCTTACTAATTTTACCTCTGAAAACAGGACGTGACCCCACCTCCTTCATTTGCAAATATCTCGACTTGTATTCAAGATGTATGGATATTTTTTTCATCAAAAAAAAAAAAAGACAAGTGAACAATCTTTAAGATGAGACTAATAACTCCACTTGCTCAAAATTTGACGAGCGCCTTAATCCACCTCGTCATGACACGTTTGTTCTTGTCATACTTACCAGGTGCCGGGATATTAGGCACCAGTATCTTGGGGTAGCTATTTGTGGCACGCAGAAGACCTGAGTTCAATTCCTGTGTGGGGAGACTGTTTATCGAGTACCTGACCTTGGTCTTTCTGTTGGAACGTTGTGTCCCTCTCAGCCTAACCTTGGCCCTGACAGGCAGGGCCAAAGTCTGCCTCCTAAATAATTTAAATTATGTTTGATGTGGCTGTAAAAATACCCACATAAAAAATAAACAGCAATAAAAGCTCAGGGGAGCGGAAAGGGGGGGGGGGGGGTGACAAAGTTACTACACTGAGTAGTTTACAAATGAATTTACAGAGCTGAGCACAATGTCAGAACTATATCAGCGTGGAGTCCAATCCGTCAATCTCCATTAGTTTTTGTTGTTGCTTTTTATTCTCTGACTTTTCTTGGAAAGTTTTTGTTGGGGGGTTTTTTTCTTTCTTTTTTTTTAAAAATAAAATATTCGACAATAATTACCCATTTATTCTGATGCTGTATCTGTTTATCTTTTTGTTTTCAATGCACAACAAGTTATGTAACCGATCTAATTTTTATATGTGGGGGGGG